GACAGGCATGGTGGCACTTTACTGCAATCCCAGAGATTTAGGAAGCTGAGGCAGGAGGATTCCAAGTTCAAGGCCAGCTTCAGCAACATAGTGAGGGCCTAAGCAACTTAGCAAGACCCTGTCTCAAAATAAAAATAAAAAGGCAGGGCAGGGCATGAACCAGTGCCTCCAGGTTCAATCTCCAGTACCCTCACCCCCCAAAAAAGTAAAGGAAACCATATCTAAAACACTAAAGGAAGTGATAAGATGGCATCTCAATAGTGAATATCAATAAAGGAAAATTACATAAAAAAGAACCAAATATAAATTCTGGAGTTGAAAAGTATAACTAAATGAGAACTTCACTAGAAGGGCTCATTAGCAGATATAAGAAGGCAGAAATAGAATCAGCAAATTTAATTTTAAGTCTATTGAAATTGTTCTGGGGAAGAAAATAATGAAGAAAACTGGACAAAGTCTCAGAGACCTTGATGAGGCACTATCAAGGTTACCAATGTTTGTACAGTGGGAGTTTCAAAAGAAGTGGAAAGAGGCACAGAGGCAGAAAGAATACTTTGAAAATAATAGCCCAAAACTTCCCAAATGAGCTGAAAAATGACCTACAAATTCAGGAAGCTCAACAAACCTCAAATAGGATAAACTCAAAGAAAGTTACAACAAGACATATTGTAATCAAACCTAACCTTTTCTTTTTTTTTCCTTGTTAGGGTAGCTGGTGCAAATATCCATGAGAGACACAGCTCTGAGTTCAAACACAAGTTTATTAACAGAGAATATCTGCCAGACTGCCCTTCTGCAAGGTGCAGCAGCCAGTGTCACTTGAATGGAAGCTTATATATCTTTGGACAAGGAACAAGAGCAAGCTAGAGTTGATCTTGAGTGCAGGTGCTTGGGTAACAACAGTTTTTTGTGTTTAGGGACCTTGGGGCCAGGGGATTATGGGAACAGGGTATCTTAAATCTCTTTCTCTTGGCAGTTTATAAGTTTCAGTTTGGGTCAAGATGGAGTCCTAGAACCAAACGGAGTAACTAATGTCTAGGGCCTAACACTCCTCCTCTAAAATAGGCTCTATGATAACCACCCCTACATACAGTTTTAATGTGAAGATTAAATGAACTGATACATTGTAAGATACTACATATTAATATAAGAGGTTCAATTACTTACTTGGTTTTAAGTTCATTTAATCATTGGCTATTTTGATGAAGAACAGGAAAAAGCAAGGTATTGTCAGAGAGTAACAAGAAAGGCCTCTCTGTGAAATGGACCTAAGACCTACAGGATGATAAAGATCCAGCCAAACAAAGTGGGCAGAATTTAGGAGAGAGTGTATCATATACCAAGGTCATCTCATTATATGAAACAATGTTCATCCTTATTTTAAATATCCCTAAAACTGTTGTGTTGGCTCATTAAGTGATTTGAAGGTGCAGAACAGGCAAAGTGAAGGGAGAGTCAGGAAGGTCAAAGGAAAATCTGGAGTTTGATTAAAGAAAAAGAGGAATTATTTTAAGAATGTAAAAGTGATTAATATCATAGAAAACTGCTGCATGTCTGGTAGAAGAGGAATGAAAATGGCCATTAAGTCTTGTAATTGGAAGCCCTTGAATAGGTTGAAGAGTGTAGAAAAAATGTAAAAGTAAAAAGGTATTGGAAACCCTTTAAGAAGGGAAACAGAGGGCTGAGATTGTAGCTCAGTGACAGA